GACCCGGGTTCGAATCCCAGCACCCACATGGCAGCTAACAACTGTCCGTAACTCCAGTTCCAGGGGATCTGACGGCCTCTTCTGTCCTCTGCGGGCATTGTACGACACGGACGCACTTACGTATACGCAGGCAATACACTCATACACATAAAATAAAAATAATATTAAAAAAAAAAAGAAAATAGCACCTGTTTTCACACTAATCCCTAGTGAACACACTGGAAAATGTGTTATTTTGTGTGTGTGATGTGCCATGGTGCACGTGTGGAGACAGGAGAATAACTTCCTTTGGAAGGCCATTCTCTCCTTCCACATGGGCCCCAGGAGCTGAACTCAGGCTGTCAGGCTTGGCTGCAAGTGACATAACCTCTGAGCCATCCCACTGGCTTTTAAAAAAAAAATCTGTATGACTGTTTTGCCTGCACGTATGCAAGTGCACTCATGTTGTGCAATGCCTGTCGAGGTCAGAAGAAGACATCCGATCCCCTGGAACTAGTTTCAGATGGTTGGAACCTACCGTGTGGACGCTGGGAATTGGACTCAGGTTCTCTGCAAGAGCAGACAGTGCTCTTAAGCCATTTCTCCAGCCCCATCTTCTAAGTGTCACATACATGGATATATGAAAAACAAGACTGGGCTGGAGAGATGACTCAGCAGTTAAGACAGCTTGCCGCTCTTCCACAGGACCCACGTTTGCTTCCCAGCACCCACAGCTGCAACTGCAGTTCTAGGGGACCTAACCCCCTCTCTCAGCTTCTGTGAGCACCTGTACACTGGCAAGCACACACGCACACACAGAATGAGGAAGAAAAAACTTCACGTGACCAGACTGCTCAGTATCCCTTCCTTACCTATCTGTCTTAATGGTGAGCACATCTGTGGCCTTGCAGTACCGTTCTCCTACAAGTTTAATAAGTTTCTTCTTTGCATGATCGTCTAAATTCAAACTGGAAAGTTTAACCTTAAAAATAAAAGAAAAAAGTTCAGTGAAAAAAATCATGTTTGTGTTAAGGTTCAGATAGCCCCGCCCCCTCACCAATAGGGTCTCAAGGACTTCTCATGCTCCTGAAAAAAGGGAACTTAGCTGATAAGCACCCTGGTCTTTGAAGTCAAGAGAAGCAGACTTTTCTCCACTGTTTGGCCAACACAGCAGGCTTCCCCTTTGATCTCTAAAGAGGACAGGTTTTAACAGTCCCTCTTGCTCTCCCACTCCCCCCACCAACTTAAAAAAAAAATACATCTTCCCACCTTCTCCAGGAAACAGAAGCCTTCCGCCTTAAAAAGAACCCAGCTCATGACCTGGGCAGACATTTTCCCTGTCTGGAAGGGAATCTGTCCCATGTGTTCCTTTGCTAATAAACTCTGCTTTCTCCTGATCAACCCTATTTGGCATATGGCTAATTTTTATCTACCAGTTTGCTTAATGTAAAAAAGCAACAATGTTATTTATATCAATAATAAGTTCATTAAAACAAAACTTTCCAGGCTTATGACTATACATAGCAACAGCATACATTACAAAGAACTGGCATGTCCTACGAGACTGATGTGTCCCCTAAGTAAGAATGAATGTGCTTAAGAGACACTAAGAGAACTAAGCTCGGTTTAGCAAAGCCGGGCTTCAGGGAAAGTGGAGAAAATAGCATAGACCTGAGAATCTCTACACTTGGTCACGGCACCACTGTGACTCGGCCTGAGGAGGTCCCACGGCACCAGTGTGACTCATTCAGAGATAGTCACTTTTTTTTTTTTTAATTTTGTTAAGTTTTATTTTATGTGTACATGTGTATTGCCTGCATGTAGGTAAGTGCACGCATGTCATGCAATGCCTGCAGAGGACAGAAGAGGCTGTCAGATCCCCTGGAACTGGAGTTATGGACAGTTGTTAGCTATCATGTGGGTGCTGGGATTCGAACCTCCGTTTTCTGCAAGAACAGCCAATGTTCTTAACTGCTGAGCCATCTCTCCAGCGCAACATTCACTTTTAAAAGCTCTCGGAGGCTGGAATATCACATCAGGGAAGAAGCCAAAGAGCTGAAAAAAAAATCCGCATTCTTCAAAAGTTAATACCGGCCCACACGCTGTGAGGACCTTCTCTTTCAGGCCAGGATGGCTCACTAGAGCTTAAAGCACTTAGCTGCCAAGCCTGGGGACCTGAGTTCAATTCCGGGGATCTAGGGTGTCTTCCGACTGGCTGGTTCCTCCAGTGGGCAGGGCCTGACACTACCGGGAAGTAGAAAGGGAAGCCGGGAGCCACCTTGGGATGGAAGCCAGGAGCCACCGGTAGAGCGTGATGGTGTAGGAAACTCGCAGCCAGCGCAGCAACTCAAAGACAGAATGGACTGACTCCTGTGGACCTGGACCTGGGATGAGATCGCCCGCCCAGAGGTGTGAGCGAATGCGGGGGGGGGGGGGGGGGGGGGGGGGGGGGGCCGCTGTGGGCCCGGCACGGTCTGATGAGGCGGCTGAGTCGCAGCAGCGCCGGTCGAGGCACTGGATATTCCCTCCTTTCTAAGTTAATAAACTCACATAAAATATGTCACATGGTTTGTCTGATCGCGCAGAAGACCCAGAGGGAACTGGGACCACATAGGAGAAGGAGAAAACATACTCCCAAACTGTCCTCTAACCTCCACGTGCTCATGTGTGCACACACAGACACAAATGACTAAATGGATAAAAACACAAATGTAATTTCATAAAGAAGGTGGGGCCTAGAAAACAGCTGCAGCTCAGTGGGGGAGTGCTGAAAGACATAAAAACCATTTCTACTGCATGGTTTCTTTTGTTTGTTGAGACAGAGTCTGAGTACACCATAGCCTAGGCTTGCCTGGTACTCATTACATAGCCCAGGCTGGCCTCAAACTTGTGATTCTGCCTCAGCCTCCCAATTACCTGGATTACAGACCTATACCACCATGCCCATCTCCAAATAAGATTCTTCACAGAATATTCTTAGAGCATTTTGAAGTTTCAGGATGCAGGAATTGGTATAGAAATGATTCTCTGAGGCTGGAGAGATGGTTCAGTGGTTAAGAACACTGGTTGTTCTTGCAGAAGACCTGGGTTCGAATCCCAACACCCACATGGCAGCTAACAACTGTCCATAACTACAGTCCCAGGGGATCCAATGGCCTCTTCTCACCTCTGTGGGCATTACACAGCACAGGTGTACTTACCTATATGTAGGCAATACACACATACACACACACATAAAAAACAAAACAAAACAAGAGCCAGGTGTGGTGGCACACGCCTTTAATCCCAGCACTTGGGAGGCAGAGGCAGGCAGATCTCTGTGAGTTCAAGGCCACCCTGGTCTACATAGTGAGTTCCAGGACAGCTGGGGCTCTACAGGGAGACCCTGAAAGATTCTCCAATTTATTTGACCATAGGTTCACTTTTCATGGAACTAGTTCTCCTTAAGTCATGTTTTGGGAAATACTGGACTAAATGAATACTCTGGAATTTGCAGAGAATTATGATAAGGGTTGGGATATGTCTTAGTGTGCATCTTCATTGCTGTGACAAAACACTCTGACCGCTACCAACTTGGGGAAGAAAGGGTTTATTCAGCTTACATATCCTGGGTCACAGTTCATCCAGGAGCCCAAGGTAGAAACTCAGGGCAGGAACCTGGAGGCAGGAGCTGGAGCTGGAGCACAGGCCATAGAGGAATGTTGTTTACTGGCTTGCTCCCCTGTCCCCTGCCCAGCCCCCAGCCTGCTTTCTTATGCCACACAGGACCACCTGCCCAGGGGTGGCACCACCCACAGTGGGCTGGGCCCTCCCATATCACTCATCAAGAAGATGCCCCTCAGACATGGCCACAGGCCAGTCCAATAGAGGAAATTCCCCAATTGAGGCTCCCTCAATCCAGGTGTGTCAAGTTGACACTAAAGCTATCCAGCACAGATTATTAATTAGAGATAAAGAGGTTTGACGCTAGAATATAGTTAAATAAAATGCAATACTGTATTAGTCTATTTTTGTCTAATATAATGAAATATCCCAAATTGAGTGACTGTAAAGAAACAAGGTTTTTCAGCTCCCAATTGTGAGTTCAAGGGCACTCCCCGGGCACAAGGATGGTCCAAACAGGCACAAGAAGAGCGATCCCATCACAAGACAGGAAGCTCAGAGCAGCTGAGGATCAGCTTGTCCGTAGAACCACCTGCCTCCAGAGACCACTCCAGCTCTCACAAGGGCTACCTGAACTCCTTCCAAGGGTACCCCGATGGTGCCAGGACTCTCACGGCCCCAGGTCTGGAAGGTCTCACAAGTCCTCTCAGCAGTGCCACACCGAGGACCAAGCTCCCAAAACAGTCTCCAGGGACAAACTAGAACCATGGCAGCACAGCAAGCACAGGTGAGCTTTCCTCAGAAAGCCCTAAGAATAAGGAAGCTGGAGGTGATGAAGGAGACTGGCTGCCCAGGGTCCTAAACTCCCTCCCTGATGACCCTGCCCCTCCCTCTGCACACAACAGCACAACTGCCTATTTATCTGCCCTTTCCCCATTGAACTACAAAACTTTGAGGGCAAGAACAATGTCTGTTTTATTCTCAGCAATGGTGTAGGACTTAAAAGCACTGAATAGGTACTTGGTAAACTGATAGATACAGTTTAGAGAAAGGGGCTGGGCCGTGGTTGGGCACACTTATCATCCTGGCAGTCAGGAGACAGGGAGGAGGACCATGCACTCAAGGACAGCGTGAGCTGCACAGTGAAACCGTGTCAATCTCGCATTCATACACCACAGGCAATGAGATTATTACAACATTCTGGGAAGAGAACATACCACCAGCAGGTGGGTTACTAGCTTGGTACACAAATAACCTATGAGAACAGTAATAACCAACAACACAGAGAATTGGTCATGTGAAAATAACGAAACAAACTACTTCACAAGCATACAAATATGTGCATACGCATGTGCATGTGTACAGAGACAATAAGTGGAAACAGTGAGCATCTTTTATATCAGGATTGTGGAGAAACAGTGATTTCTCTTTTTAAACCTTTTCGGTGGAATTATCATATTTAACAGTAAAATTTTTAATCTCAGTGGTTTTTTTTTGGCATGTGTTCAAAAAAGTGACAATGTTTTTACTGGACAATAGCCATTTTAAAAATCATTCACGTTACTATTGTATGTTAGAGACTACAAAGAATTTAGTAAGAAACTTTGAGGTGCTTCAGAAGCCTTGGTTGGCACACTCACACCACCTGCTATCTCTCAAAGGCACTGCAAATTTCTCATCTTTGACCTGGGCCAACAAAATGACTTCGAGGATGAGCAGTCCGTTTCCCATGACCTACATGATACCACCTAGTGAGTGAACAGTCAGAGACTCAACAGTCAGCAGCCAAATGGGAAGAGTCTACACAGGTAGCAGTGAGCCACACTGAAGAGGTAGCCGGGGGCACTGAACAGTTTCCAGGGTGGCAGGGGACACAGAAAGGAGGCAGGGGTTAGATACAGTGGGAGACACCCAGCAGCAGCTCCAAGTAAGGCCAGGGGGTTACTTCTGAGTGAAATAAAACTCACAACGTCTAGGGCCACCAAAATCAGATAAACACGAATGAGAGTCTAGGATTTCTGACTCTGAATTTAGAGATTTTTCAACATAAAATTGAGTTCAACAACTGTTGGATATGTTCCTATAAAAAGCCCAGTGTGGTGATGCACGCCTTTAATCTTAGCACTCAGGAGGGCAGGGCAGAGGCAGCCAGGGCTAGCCAGGGCTATACAGTGAGACCCTGTCTCAAAAAAAAAAAAAAAAAAAAAAGTTCATCTTGCCGAGGTGGCTGGGGCCCCAGGGCGTCGACCCTCCCCTGGTCTCCAGACCTTCCAGTCCCATTTAGGACAAAGTGCTAGCTCCAGGCCCACTGTGAACAGACCACTGAATGGCTGGGAAGCCTGGGCCTTTCTGAGGCGAAAAGAAACACACAGTGACCCCAGCGATAACCACCAACAGACCTGTGGCCCCATCAGAAGGACATAACCAAGAGCTGGCAAAGGTGATTCTAAACGTTGATAGCACTTACCTATTTGTAAGGCCGACAACCCTAGCTTTGTCCTTATGAAGAGGCTTTTTGCTTAGGGCTGGGATGACGCTGAGGGCAGTCTGCTTAACAAAGAGGTTTTTTTTTTTGAGTCAAGATCTCACTGTGTAGCCCAGGCTCACCTCAAACCCCGAGAGTCCTTCTGCCTCACCCTCCTGGGTGCTATGCCTAGCGGAAAGGAAATTTCTTAAAACTCAAAAGTTGAAGGAGTTCTGTTATGTGATAAGAAAGGCTGGAACGTGGGCAGAAGACGGGAGTCATGAGAGATGATACAAAGCAAATTTCTTCCAGTTTCAATGTTGTTCTTTTTTTCTATTTTGTGGTAAGTGCATAAAGACAAAGTTGGCAGTGAAAGTCTGCAGAGTGGCTTCAGAAGGGCCATTCTAATTGCGTGGCGTCACTGAGACGCAGAGTTGAGGACTGGGAAGTTTTTGCATGGCTACCTTACTCTATGGGATGTTTTTACTTGTGAGCTCATGGCAATAAAGTGATTTTATTTAATTAAAACACACATACACACACACACACACACACACACACACACACACACACACACACAAGGTCCCATAATATGGATAACTTAAATAAGTATCAGTAGACTTATCTATGCTGGGACTGTAGATCCACTGTAGAGTGCTTACCTTACATTTGATCCCCGGCAAAACCAAAACTAAACACAAACCCATCACACCTCTACTTCGAACTCTGCCTTGGCATGTAGCTGGTGAGATGACCTGGCAGGTGAGCGCTCCTGCTGCACAAGTCTGGCAACTTGGGTTTGATACCCAGAACCCATGTAAAGGTGGAAGGAGAGAACTGACTCCACAAAATAAAACCGATCAACATTATAGTATCGAGAAACATCTTATTTCTTATTTGATGGCGCACATAGTATCATCCCATTAAAACATGCAAAGGCTACATGCAAAGCAGTACGTGCATTAGTTTCATAATCACATACAAATGCATTTTAAGTATGTATTACAGTGACGCTTACAGCATCTAAACATCTCTTACCCTTAGTGTTACCACTCGTGCCTTGGGGTTTCGGTTGGATGGTCCTGATGAAACGTAGTCGGAGGTGTCGACCTCAACCGGAAAATGCTTCTCACACTTCTCATCAGTGTCCAGTGCAGCTGGCCATTCGGTGCAGAAGTCTGAGAATTAGAACCATGATCTCAACTATAGTTTTGCAAGTAATTCTCACTGTAATGCACATTACCAGACAACAAAACTTAGCTATGGGTATCGTTCGGGGGCCACATGAAAGAAAAGCACAGGTCTCCCCTGCATCAACACACGTCAGCAGTCCACATCTGCATCAACACACACGTCAGCAGTCTACACCTGCATCAACACACGTCAGCAGTCCACACCCTGTATCAGCACGCACGTCACAGCCCTCACCCCGCATCAGCGCACATGTCAGTCCTCACCCTGCATCAACACACACATCACACCCCTCACCCCGCATCAGCACACATGTCACAGTCCTCACCCCGCATCAGCACGCATGTCACAGTCCTCACCCTGCATCAGCATGCATGTCACAGTCCTCACCCCGCATCAGCACGCATGTCACAGTCCTCACCCCGCATCAGCACGCATGTCACAGTCCTCACCCCGCATCAGCACGCATGTCACAGTCCTCACCCCGCATCAGCACGCGTGTGAGTCCTCACCCGCTTTCTGTCTGCTGTGGGCGGTTTAATCCCTCCTTCCCAGAGCACCACTGCTTGTGAAAACCAACTTGTTCTAATTCACCCGAATGATCGTTACTAGTAAAGATCGGCTGAAAGGAACCGAGGGGTTGTCAACACTCGTCCAAAAACCCAAGTCACATGAGGCCTCCACTCAAGTATGGAAGCCTAGGCCATCGACACATGGATAACTATAACTTCACACCATAACTCCTGTTCCTCCCATGTGACTCTGACAAGCAAAATGGAAACAAAGAGCTTTGTCCTCATCCTCGGGAAGGTAGGTCTGGGTCTGAGACCTAGGCGGCAATGTTCCAAGCACTTGTGAACATGGCTCTCTCTTCCCCGAAGCACAGGAATAAACTCAGTCCCCAGTTTGCTGAGGGAAGGGAGTGGCTGCCAGCCTCCTGCTGTGACCAGGAGCTGACGTCATACTGACCGGTTCCTACCAAGGGGGTACAGCAGAGGCAGTCAGCTGGGGATGGAAGCTTCTCACACCAGGGACCTCTTCTCACTCCTTGATAGCCCAACTCGGAGAGCAACAGGCTCCTTGTCAAACACATGTACCTCACAGACCCAGGCTTCCTCCTTTAAAGCATACTACAGGAGACACTGAACATAATCGTGGACAGATGTGGAAGCCTTTCTTGATGATCTAAGGGACAGTGAGAGGTCCTTTGCTTGTAACTTTTCCCCAGGTCAACAATTTTCCGATAGTACTATGTTTTATCTGCTTTTAGGCTTGATTTAAAATCAGAGCCAGTAAAATGTCATTCTGAGTTAGAAAGAGTCTCTGTACAGTGATTCACACCTGCAATCCCGCACTCAGGAGGCTGAGGCAGCAGGAGGCAGTTCCAGGCCAGGCTGAGCTAATGTGTGAGACCCTGTCTTAAAACCCCGTAAAACAACAAAAAGCACCCCCAAACCTCAAAACCTACACTCTGAAGGAAGAGAATACTGATATCAAGAACATTTTGACATGAAAAAAACCCCAGTGGAGCAAGGATGGAAGTCAGCCTCATCAGGACTAACCGGTGCCCACACCAGGAGACGCAGGACTGCCAAGCACTTTATAAGAGGCTAGTCTGGAGAATTACATGAACTTTTGGTTTTGCACAGAATATTTTTTCTCTTAAACTGCAAATAAGTCATTTCAATCACCAGATGATAATTACAGTTTTTACATTAAATTACCCAAATTACATGTCTAAAAACACAGCCAACTGGAAAGTACGTAACAGATGCCCATTGGTGTTTACATCTGATAGGTTCAGCAGTGAACCAGGCTTTAGGAACCTTGGCTTTTATTTAACTTCTGCCACTGATTATTAAAGTTTTGGTAAATTACTCAACTTTCCTGCATTTCACATTTTCCATTTGCAAGTTAGAAAATCTGAAGTGACCTACTTTGAAAGAAAAACTGAGAAAAAAATGTGAAAAACCTCGAGTTATTTGGAAGGCACAATCTCCAGCTACAGACAGCAGAAGTGTGATTGACAAAGAGGTGACCGCTGCTTAGGTTCCACAAGAAGCCCTGCTCCTCCTCAGAACCCGCTCGGAAGCCTGCCACCCAAGTCAGGAACTACAGAACTCCTTCATCAAAGCAATCAGTTGCCAGGCTCAGCGAGCACGGGCACCTGCCCCCCAGCCTGACTACCTGAGTTGATCCCAGGGCTCTGCAAGGTGGAGGGAGAGAACCAACTCCCACAGGTTGTCCTCTGACCTCCATGTACACACTGCTGCACACACGTGCCTACACACACGCTTATACACAGAGAATAAAATGTAATTTTTTTTTTTTGTCTTTTTGAGACAGGGTCTCCCTGTAGCCCCAGCTCTCCTGGAACTCACTATGTAGACCAGGCTGGCTTTGAATTCACAGAGATCCGCCTACCTCTGCCTCCTGAGTGCTGGGATTAAAGGCGTGCGCCACCACGCCTGGCTGTAATTTTTTAACATTAAAAAGATTTTTAAGGGAAAAATGGAATTTAGCGTGGTGTTTAGGAATCCATTTCTTAATTGGCTTTTATAAAAGATTAAAAAAGTGGAATGTGAGGGCTGGAGAGATGGCTCAGCGGTTAAGAACACTGGCTGTTCTTGCAGAAGACCTGGGTTCAAATCCCAGCACCCACATGGCAGCTAACAACGGTCTGTAACTACAGTCCCAGGGGATCTGACAGCCTCCTCTGACCTCCATGGGCATTGTACAACACGGGTGCACTTACCTACATGCCGGCATACATGAATACAAATAAAATAAAAATAATAAAATATTTTTTTAAAAGTGGAATGTGAGCTGTTCCAAGTGGGTCACAAATCTGGGGCAGTGACCAGTTGTAGCCAGATTCCAAGAAGTAAATACAGTAACTGACATTCTAAAGAACAGAACACCATTCCGTCACACAAGTGAAACGAAATGGGCTTTTCTTCCCTCCTGTCAAAGGCAAGGCTACAATTCCCATGTTTAGGACCACATTAGATCTTCCTAACGACACTTCTATCGGGAGGTCCTCCTGAAAGCTCTGACACTCAGCAGTCCATGTCTCCTTCCGCAGTACAAGACACCAGGAAACGTTTCCATGTCTCACTGCTTTCCTAAATGCCTGAACAAATGTACTAACATTTATGAGACAGCTCTAAATCAGCACACATCTATTAAGACTTAGACCAAAGGGTCTAACTCTTGGATTAAACTACAAAATCACTACCATCTGTGAAACAAAAAAAAAGTCAAATATGCTTATCCTATATCTAATCAAATGCAAATTAGATTAAAATAATTAGAATATACAAATAGTTATGAAAACAAGACATAACCATGAAAAACTGTTGCCTTTACCCCACTGTTAACAGTCTGAGGTGAAACGCCCCCACAGGCTCACGTCTGAGCTGGTAGTGCTGAAGCTCCAGAAAGTGGATCCTATCCCTGCCGCCCCCGATCAGCCACTTCACACTGGGGCTGCAACAGCCAGACCACCCCTTCCTACCATGACAGAAGACGTCCTCAAATCGGGAGCCCCAAACCAATCGCTCCCCAAGCTGCTTCAGTCCGGTATTCCATCACAGTGTCAAGAAGAGTACACAGCCGGGGAGGAGATCGAGCACAAGTGGGCGGGGACCCAGGCTGATGGTCAAACGCCACAGGGACTGCTCCAAAGCAGGAAACTCAGCTGTAGCTGGGGCCACAGGACAGACTGCCACCCCCCCACACACACACCATGTGGAGTATGCACTGTTAAGTAGAAGAGCACCTGGTTCTGTGGAAGTCATTACAAGAACTAAGTACTGACGAGGAGAGTTCTCTGGGATGAAATGGAGAAGCAGGAGACAGTCACCATCTATCTGATCAGCCACATACACAGACGACTCTTACACTGTCAGTTTATGGACCACTACAGGGGTCCTGTCTGTAATTAATGCTGACTTTATTTTCTAAGTGTAACACAGAACGAGGTTAAGAACGTCTACCACTACCTGTTGATAGAAATAAAAAGAACTACAGCTTCACTTTGTTCTTTTTGTCCATTTTCTTAGTTTTTTTTTTTTAATTCTAAATAGCCCAGGCTAGCCTCAAACTCTGCATTCTCCTGTCTCAGCCAATTGTACAGTTGTGCATAACCATGCCTTATGTTTTCAAAACTGTATTTTTCCTGACCTTATGAAGTACTTGGCAAAAAGTTGTTTACAGATTTAACATCTTAAAACTACTTTTAAAAAATCCTTGTTTAGAAGAGAAAGTCAGGAATGTGGTGCACTCCTGGAGTCCCAGTACACAGCAGGCGGAGGCAGGAAGACCATGAATTTGAGGTTAGCTTGGGCTGCATAGTAATAACCAAGCCAACCTGGGCTACCTAACAAGCAAGACCCTCTTAAGAAAACCAAAAATAGGCTGAGCATGGTGACACATGCCTTTGAACCAATGCATAGTAATAACCAAGCCAACCTGGGCTACCTAACAAGCAAGACCCTCTTTAAGAAAACCAAAAATAGGCTGAGCATGGTGACACATGCCTTTGAACCAGCAGCTGGGAGGCAGCACCAGGCAGACGGCTGAGATGGAGGCCAGCCTGGGATGGTCTACACAGCGAGTTCCAGGCCAGCTGGGGCTGCACAGTGAGACCCTATGCCAAAAAACAAAACAAACAAAAAACACAAAAACAAAAAAAGTGAACCAAAACTAAGTAAAAAAAGGAAAAACTCAGAACACGGAGTTAGATCACATTAGACCTGATAATACCAAGTTCACATGAGAAAACCTACCTTTCAGAGCCTCACAGTGCCTTTTAATTGCCACAGGAGTCAAATGCAGAAAATTTGGGATCTAAAACAGAGAAGTTTTTAAAGGTTAAAGTTTAATCCTCCCCCCACCCTCTTTTTGTGAACTAGTCTTAATATGGCCACGATGGGTTCAAAGTCATATGCTCAAGTGATCCTCCTGCCTCAGCCTGAACAGCTGGATCATAGGCATGTACTACCATAAAAATAAAAAAGTATCATTTTCTTATAAAACTAAATCACAGGCCCAATGAATAATGTAAGTAAAATCAGACAGTTCTACAATATTTGTTCTAGGCCACAGACTTCCGTCCAAGCAGACTGCTCACAGATCAGCACCCACAGACTTCCGTCCAAGCAGACTGCTCACAGATCAGCACCCACAGACTTCCGTCCAAGCAGACTGCTCACAGATCAGCACCACGCTTCAGACGGTGTACATCTTTCATTTCTTTTAAACCCCATAACTTTTATTTTAGCAATCTTATTTTTATTTTTAATTATGCATATACGTGCAAGTCTCAGTGTGGGTTAGTATACACAAGCATGGTGTTCTCGGGGCCAGAAGAGGACATCGGATCCCCTGGAGCTGAGAGCCACAGGCAGTGGCGAATGCCTACTGCAGCTGCTGGGACTCGAGTCCTCTGCAACAATGGTCCTGGTAACCACTGAGCTGTCTCTCCGGCCTCCCTCGTACCTTCAGGGTGGCAGTCACATTGAATGAACACCATGTACTCTTCATGCCACCCATCTCCAGGTGTACAGCTGTGTTTCCCTTACAAAACTGAAAGCATGTAGGGTTGGTGGCTCACACCTGTACTCCCAGCACTCAGCAGGCTGAGGCAGGAAGATGGTGAAGTCAAGGTCAGCCTGGGCTACATCACAAGACCCTGTTTCAAAAACTGAAAATGGGAAAGGAAAATCCTGAACACGGGTGCGGTGGTTTGAATGAAAAATGCCCCTCATAGTGTCAAGTGTTTGGACACTGTGCAGTGGTGGCACTGTTTGGGGAGGTCACAGAATCTTGAGGAGGTTTGGCCCAGCTAGAAGAAGGGTCGCTAGGCCGACTGAGAATTTGCAGCCTCCTCTCATTTGTTTTGCTCACTGCTTCCTGTTTGCCGGAGATGTGAGTGCTCAGCTGTTCGTTTATGAAATGAGGGACTCTCACCCCTCCCTCCATGACGGACTCTCACCCCTCCCTCCATGATGGACTCCCATCCCTCCCTCCATGACGGACTCTCACCCCTCCCCTCCATGATGGACTCCCATCCCTCCCTCCATGACGGACTCTCATCCCTCCCCTCCATGATGGACTCTCATCCCTCCCTCCATGACGGACTCTCATCCCTCCCTCCATGACGGACTCTCATCCCTTTGGAACTGTAAGCCCAACAAACTTTTCCTTCTATAAGTTGCCTTGGTCCTGGTGTTTTATCACAGCAACAGAAAAGTAATTAATACAGCATGTAATAAATATGTTCTAAAATATTTTATTTATGCCAGACATGGTGGCGCACGCCTGTAGTCCCAGCACTTGGGAGGCAGAGGCAGGCAGATCTCTGTGAGTTCAATGCCAACCTGGTCTACATAGTGAGTTCCAGGACAGCTGGGGCTACAGGGAGACCCTGCTTCAAAAAGACCCCCCCAAAAAATTGCTTATTATTTTTATTTAATGTGTATGAGTATATTGCCTACCTATATCTAAGTGTACCCATGTCATGCAATCCCTGCAGAGGTGAGAAGACAGCATCAGATTCCCTGGAACTGGAGATACAGATGGTTGTTCACCACCATGTGGGCGCTAGGAATCAAACCTACATCCTCTGCAAAAGCAGTCAGTGCTCTTAACTGGTAAGCCAAGTCTCTAGCCCCACCAATCACTGTTTAATCACCTAGTATACTGAAACCTAGTATACTGTTTTCACTTTACACAAAATAAGCACTTTGAATGGATAAATAAAGCTAGCAAATCTTGAGTAGACAGTTATTTTAATGACTGAATGACTGACTGAGACAGAGTCTTGTATAAGTTGTTATGCAGCAAACGCTGGTCTTAAACGCTTCTCCTGCCTCAACCTCCCAAGTGCTGAATTACAGGTGTGTGTCACCATACACAGCCCTAACTGAACAGCTTATGAATTACGATACCAGAGGAGGTTATGTATTTGTGCACAGAATCAAGGAAATTTAGGAAAGGCCGAAGATTTGATTCCTTCAAATACTGACTTTGCCAACATATTTTAAAAATAATGTTAAGCATGTAAAGAGAAATTTATCTTGCAACTCACTTGGAAAGAAAAATTGAAAAGCAGAAAGCTTTTCAAAAACCACACCAAGAATCTTGAACCCGACCAGAAAATACTTATTTAAATTAAGAGAAAATAGAACTAAACACTGGGGCTCTGGGATGGGCGGCTTCTTTTCTGGGTACTTTACTGCTCTCACGGGAGCAGACGGAGGACACTGGACGACTGCTTACTCGAATGCCATCCACAACCACTGGTGGTCACGAACCTGCCACTGTGACACCCCCAGGGACCTCTTTAAACCAAGTTCTCTTATTTGAAGAAAAGATTTGTCTTCCTCGGGTTTTGCTTATAACTCCTAAAATGTTTTCCTTTTCAAGTTTTAATTATTCTGTCTTTAGGAGCACAATCCCTGTTTGCCCTGTTCCTTACCTCTCTTTTCTTTTAGCACATTTTTGTAATCCAAGCACCTGGAAGATGAGGTAGGCGGAACAGGAGTTCAAGGCTACATCCTGAGCGTCAGGCCAGCCTGGGCTACCAGAGCCTCTGCCTCGAAAAAACCCTAAAGTGAATGAATGTATAAATAAAGGTAGAACCTTCACTTTCCGATTCTTGGTGTTGGTTTATTTCACCGTCCTTAGCTCAATGTGAAAGCTGCAGCACAGCACGTCACAAGGGAAGTCACGGGACAGATCAGTCACATTATTAAATGCCCATGACTCAGAGTCTTCTTTACCATGAACAGTCAAAATACAACATCATGATCACCTGAAAAAAAATGTAACTAAAGCATAGCAAGCTGCTCTCTACTGAACCTGAGCACGAGGGAGGCTCTACACCCACTTAGAAGCTGGTCCGAGCCACGATCAGCAACTTACCTTTACAAGCTCTAGATTTCCCTCCTTTCCCATGGGCACTCCCTTCTTTACTGGATAGCCCATTCGAATAGGCAGAGGTACAGCTGAGGGTTTAAATGGTGCCGCAACTGGGTAAACACTGGGCCAGTCCTGGTTAACATCCATTTTTTCAGTCCTAGGAGGTAGTGCCTAAGAAACATGAAATAGTTAAAAACGTTAACTATAAACATATTCTTTAATTTTAAGACAAAAGCTACACTTAAGACAAATAAAACCCAAACTAAATCCTGTATGGCTTCGCAGGTGCAGATGTTGTAGGGTTGTCAGACCTGCTGGCTCCCCCCGGCCATCTTGCTGACCTCTGCATGCTTACTCTCTAACTCCCTTAGTTCCAAGTGTCTCCCCCTCTTCCCCTCCTCCTCTTTCTCCTCCTTCTCCTTCTGAGGCAGGGTCTCATGTAGCCCAGGACAGCCTCAAACTCACTTTATAAAAAAATTTCCTTTAAAAAAAATTTATTTATTTTTATTTGATGTATGAGTGTTTTGCCTGCCTGCATGTAAGTGCACTTGTGTCATGCAAGGCCCACGGAGGTCAGAAGAGGGCATAGGATCCCCTGGAACTGGAGTTAGGAACCATTGTTAGCCACCACACAGGTGCTGGGAACTGAATCGGGGACTTCTGCTAGAGAAGTCAATGCTCTTAACTGCTGAGCCTAGAACTTCTGATCACCTACCAAGTGCTGGCATTATAGGTATGTGCCACCACACCTGATTTATGTGGTGCTAGGGGTCAAATCCAGGGCTTTGTGCACGGTAGGCCAACACTATCAACTGAACTATACCCCAGCCCTTTTTACAAGTTTTTTAACATCTCCCTAAGTACTGACTTCCATCAAAGAGATTTTAAAAATTATTTCAAAACATGCTGTTGAAAACAGACTGAAGAGATGCTCAGTGGTTAAGAGCACTGGCTGCCCTTGTAGAGGACCATGGTTGGGTTTCCAGCACCAATATGGCAGCTAACAACTGGCTGTCACTCCGGTTCCAGGGGATCAGACGCCCTCTTCTGGCCTCGTCAGGCCCTGCGTGACACAGGTGTACTTACATGCATGCAGGCAAAACACTCATACACATAAAAGAAAAATGAAATATTTAAATAACATTATAAACGAAATGTAGACTTTACTGAAAGCATAGTTAAATAAGCTAATTCTCACAAAGGATGTGACATTAAAGATCATGTCAGAGAATCTGAGGAACAGTGCAGAGGTGTTTAGCGAGTTTGTGGTTTTCATTTGAGCAGATTTGTTGGGAATTAGTTCATTTTTAAAATTTTAGTAATCATTGTGATTGTCTGTATGATGTGTAGGGCACATGTGCCACAGCATGTGTGTGGTGGTCAGAGGACACCTCTGGAGTTGGTTATTTACTTCCACCTTTATACGGGTTCCAGAGACGGAACTCAAGTCAATCCCTGGGACTTACATGGCGGAAGGAGAAAACTGACCACTGCAAGTTGTCCTCTGACCTCCACACATTTGTCAAGGTATGTATACCCACATACATATACACATAAATAAATGTATAGTTTTTTAAACAAGTGAGCATAGAAATAAGTGAATCAAAGTTAAACACATTAAAAACATATAATGTCTCCTAGGCCCAGAGGTCAGCACTTGACATCGTAGCTGATCGCATTAACTCACGCACCTGCATTTAAAGGTTTAAGAAGCACATGGCCAACACACAGAAAAGTAGAATGTGCAGTGACAGGATTTAGCAGTGTTCATCTAGACCTCAACATCTGGGTGATGCACGTCCTAGGAGTGGGTAAGGCTCCTCTGCAAATTGCCGCTCTCAGTGCTGCTTGAGGTCTTTGTTTTGACTCCATGGTCATCACTAATCTTATAATCTGGATTCCTCCAGATGCCCAGAGGAGACTAACTGGTGAGATCAAGGAACACACTGGGCACCGTACATCAGCCTGTACTCTGGCTCACACCCATCTCCCAGGTGTATGTGAATGCACCTACTTCCCAGGGATGACACATTCAAAGACTAACGACTACTGGAGCTGTGGTAGTCACGCAGACCTTGTGCCGCCCTCCCTGCCAGCACCCTCGGCCTCACTTTGGAACTTGAAACCATTACAACAGAGTGGAGTGAAATGAATGAGCTCACCTTCCTTTTTACGGTCCTGTCAGTTCTAGATGCTCTTACAGCTGTACCTAAAAGGAACCCCAAGAGGCCAGAATTTTACAATGAAGCATTCTTCAACATCAATCATTATCTTGTAGTTCTAGCACAATTCCAGGTATTTAGTAACATAAAAATGAAAGAATTGCCTATTT